GACACCTTTCAAAAGAAGCTCATTTCTGCTGCTTGTATCTGAGATGTTATTCTTCCAGTCACTACCCACAGTTCATAGCCATATGTGAAGTTAGGTAGGAACGTTTAACAGTGATGCTTCGCCTTCACCTTCAGGTCAGTGGATGTTGTGTTCACTGCAGTTTTTTCCTCTACAGAATTATTTTTTCTGTCAGTTAAAAAATGCTTTCTGGTTTTATTTCCGTTTTAACATTACATATGAATCTTTTGCAACTTTTCTTACTCAAGCCACTGAATATAATATGTCTGTCATGTAACAGTTTTTCTTTCTTCTTCGATTGACACGCGAGAGCTTTAATGGCACGTCAATGGCAGCTGCTCTTTTCAGCTGTGTTTAAAATGTGATAAGATACTGTATTTATGGACCAATTACATCAACTCTTATCCAAACACTTCCACACACACACTTTTGTGCATGCTGATTGCTGCTCTTTATTGATGAAGTCTTACTTGGTGTTGGACAACTGTGATTATGTTCTCGAAGTGGATCTCGGAAGACTCGGGAATTATAATGTTAATGAAATTAAACTTTGAGCGAGCATGTCAGTTTCTGTGCTCTCATCCTGAATCACACGCAAGCAATCAGAGACCATTTAAAATTCCATGACAAAAAAAAAAGAATCCACACTCTTAAATTAAACGGCCGAATTATACACTAGAGAAAGTCGTTTTTTGAGTCTTTCCAGCAGTTTTATTTCAATGCAAGCATATTTACAATCAAAGAACTTCAAAAATAGAATTACAATATAAAAACTCAGATATAGTAATATTATAAGATAACTAACTAACTTGCTGAAAGTCTACTGTGAAAAATAGAACATTAGGAGCATCGCCAAGTGCACATTACAATGATTGAAGTACTTAAATTTGCGTCTTTAGCAGCCTTTCTGTGTGTATAATCAGACTGCATAATTCAAGATGATACCTTCAGTTTATTCAGTCATCACAATCTTTTGATTTACATAAAATAGTTTTTATAAAATAAAAACACTGTAACTTCTTATCCTCTTTGGAAATGTGCTGTAAAATACCATCATGTCCATATGGACCAAAACCTCAGAGGAATGTTTCCATGACCTTGTTGAATCAGCGATGCTGAGCGATAGAAATATATATTATACTCACCAGCCACTTCGTTAGCTACGCCCATTTAACTGCTCTTTAAAACAAATATCAAATCAGCAAATCATATAGCAGCATCTCGGTGCATTTAGGCATGTAGACATGGTCAACAAGTTCAAACCAAGCATCAGAATGAGGACAAAAGGTTTAAGTGACTTTGAATGTGCTTTGGTTATTTGTGCCAGATGGGCTGGTCTGACTTTTTCAGAACCTCCTGATCTACTGGGATTTTCCTGCACATATGGACCATAATCTCTAAGAAATGACTCCAGCATCCCGTTGAATCTATACCACAAAGAATTAAGGCAGTTTTGAAGCACTTCAGTCCAACACACTGACACAAATACACAAGATCGTTCTTTTACTCTTTAATTATGAACACAAAGCCAACAACACAAAGCAAACTTGAAATCAGCCCAGAGAAACTTCAAAGCAAATTCTGCTTCAATTCTACTGTAACTGAAACATGTATAAGTAGAAATAGAGGCTCCACTATTACAAGTCTGATTCTTCATCGCTGCCTTACTGATGAAGTTCAGGCTCCGTTGCCATACACTCGGCTTTAAGATCACACTGGGTTCTTTGCCAGTTTTCTGTTAGCATGCTGTCCACACAGATGTTTGCAAAGTGCAGATTCTTTGCCCTGGATGCAGTTTGCACTTTACCAACATACTCTTGTCTTCCCGTGGCATAAAAATAAAAGAAATGTTTGTACATCCATTCCTCAAAAGGTACAGACCACTCCATGTTCCTCCTCTCTGCACACAGACTGAAATCAGCTGACTGTAGCACAAGTGAACAAGAAGAAAAAGACGTTTGACTTTTTTTTTCTTCCTATCCACCCATCTTGCAGATATCTGAAGGACCTTTTTTAATTATGATGTGATTATTGAACTTACTACAAATTACCAAAAAATCAAAAAGAGCAAAAACAGATATAGCATGTTTGAATTTTTAAAAGGGCATTTGTTTAGAAGGAACCTTCTAGTGTTGCAGAAAGGAGGAGAAAGACAGGTTGGACTCGTGTGTTGACAAAGAGGCAGGGAGTACCAGTTCATTAGGACCTGCCATAAGTAATAGAAATGGAAAGAAAATGTTTGCACTCCTAAAAAAAACTATTGATACTACAAGTTAGATGTAATTTATTTTAGCCGTCATTTTTTTCCCCTCTGTCATCTCCTTTATCTTCTTTGTGAAATGCAGCCATTTTCTCTCTCCCCCGTTGTTCGCATAGATGTTGCTAACACTGCAGACCTGTCAGTCATTCATCTCTAGGGGAGGCGGGCTCATTGCCTCAGTTGGGGGAAGTGGCTGAGCAGAATAGTTGATTGGCAGAATTGAGAGAGAGAGGAGACGGTAGGGTGGAGAGGCTTGGAAAGTGGAGCAGATGAGCACAGAGGAAAGAAAGATGTGGAGCGTAAACAGTCTCTTTAGGAGGTACAAACAAAGGCGGTCAGCATGAGAGGTACGGTACATACAATACACTTATGATATATATAAAAACTGAAAAAGAAGGACATATTTTTTGACAAAGCAGGGCAACATCTCAATGCAGAGATAAGCCTGGAGTGTTGAATACATTATAGGAGGGAATTCTTTTCTTGTTTGAAAAGAAACTCTGAGTAGGATGTAGCGACTTGATATGATTTTTAAAAACTGGCCGCTGGCATAATGTAAACAGACCAAACACCTTTTGTTGACGACTGGCTGAAGAGATTTTACTGAGAAAAAGAAGGTTTTAAAATAACTCCTTGGAGGTGGATATGTTTAGATAATTATCATCAAGTAAGACAGCCAGTAAGTAAAAAAAAAACAAAAAAAAAAACAACCTAGTGGCGTTGAATTGTGAAAGGCTGTTGAGTTAAGTGGGAGATATGTGGTCTGAAAGAGGATGCTAATTTGTATTGCATAATGCATATATAACAGCTCCCAAGTTTTTAGGAACACGTATACCTTATTTTCCAGTGGCAGCACAAACATTCTGAGAAAATGTTTGTGACTAATGTCATCATCTGCTCTCAGTTCTGGTGTCTAATTTCTCTAAACACTAGCTATTTCCTGATATATTCTGGTTTTAGGTGAGATCCTTTAAGAGGGTGCTAAAGTTTCAGCGCAGTAGTAATTTTCTTAAACTTTAGGTTTCTAGAAAAGGTAACAAAAACATTAGGAGGAAGAAGAATTAGAAGCATTAGAAGTTACTACTGTTATGTAACTGTGGTCATGTAGAGTTCACAGAGAACCACTGATCTACTAGGTCAGGGTACTCAAGGACAGCTTGACAGAGAAAGGGAAAGTCTGTGGTTCAGAAGTCTCATTTTCCACTTTGAAGGACATCTCTGCCTTTGAGGTACTTTGCTTTTAGAGAGGAAGGTTTATCACTAACTGATAGCATTTCAAGGGCTCTGATATGGCAGTCATAAACTTGAGGGCAGGTTATAACCTGTGAATCAAACACATTTAGTTTATCAAAAGACTACAGTGTCAGAGAAGAAATGATGGAATGTGGAATATTCCAAATTTAAGCTGGTTGTAGGATTTTTCCACTATCTTTGCAGTGTCTGGGATATTGGTGGTCACAGGGAGATGCAACAACTGATTGCTTAGGATAGCAGGTGTTGCTGGGATATCTCTGAGAACAAATTGTACTGATAAAGAGAACTGTGCATAATGACACTTTGCTAACAGGCTAATTTAATTACTGCCAATTACTGTCTGGTTTCCACTGGTAATGTTTTTTGAAGTAGTTGTCAGGCAGATGAATCAGACCAAAAGGTCGGATAGATATGAAGTGCATGAAAGTGTTGATTTGTACAAGCTGAGTGGGAGCACATGCAGAGATGACAGGTGAGGCCACACGTAATCAGAAATGTTAACAGTGTAAATATATGCATTCAAAGAGCCACAACTTAAAGTTGAGGCAGCTGCGTTTCATTTTAACACTGCCTGCAGCAAAATCCAGGTTGAATTCGTACTGAGGTAGCCTAGATATGCAACAAAGTGAACTTACAGTACAATAACAGTAAAAGAGCTACAATAGGGTAGCTTCAAATCTATTGTAATCTTTTGCAGCATGTAACTGGAGAATAGTAAGATGATTGTAACATTACTAGAGCATGTTGTAGCTTTAAATACAAGCAGCTCTTATAATACATTTCTTAGTGCTTAGTAAGAGCTCTGTTTGCATATTTTGTATATTGGATTGATTGGCTGTTAGCATTAGCCATATTCTTGGCTAATGCTAACTCAATATTCAGTCACCAGCAAATGCAGTAATGCAAATTTGGATAATTTGATATGTAAATATGTATTCTATTCTATAAATTAATAAAGAGAACACTTGAAATTGTTGCCGTTTGTTGTAGAAGAGAGGTTTTTTTTTCTTAAAACAAAGGATTTTTTTTAACCTATATTGCAAAACTAAGACAATCACAACAATGTGACGGGTCATTGCAATGTTGATCCTGTACATTGGTTGAGTTTAACCCCTTAGCAGTCCTACAAATTTACAATTAGTCCCCTAAACCATCCAATGTACCGTGGGCGGTACGTCCGACTGCTAACAGGTTAAAAAACAAGTTAATCACCCTATTCATATGGAAAAATGATCCTTGCTCTTAAACTAGTGAAATGTGACCCGTTTCAGGTATACCTGTAATGAAAATCACTATGAAGGTACATTAAAATTTTAGGCACTAATTGTTTTGCATGATAGGCATGTGTTCTGTATGAATCGAAGACTAGGGTGGAATCTGCCAGTGGTTGTAACACATTGGTTCGTAGCTATCTCACCTTATAAGATAAATGTGCTGCAACCGTGACAGAATGCAATTCTCTCCCAAGGTGCCAAAGAGGTGAATGCAAGTGGGAAGACATTTACAGTACGGAGCTCTCTACAGCTGCAAGTGGACAGAAATGATGATGGAGTGGCCTACACCTGCAGAGTGGACCACGTGGCACTCACACAAGCACCACAGCAGGCCACTGAAGTACTGGAGGTCCACTGTGAGTGTAGACGCAAAGTACAGCACTCAAACACATATATGAAGTGTACACATGAGCATAATGGATAACAGAAAATTCAAACCAATAAAAGGCAGTAACTACTGTAAATAGCCATGGTAATGGGAGCTTTTATGGCTGTTGAACCCAGTTAGAGAACATTTCAACTAATGAGGCCTCCATCATTGTATGTAAATGCACTATTTCAGAGCTGATTTTCTGTGATCTTGCATTTATAATTTTACATTTAGGCACTAGTATTTTATTCAGTCAGTATCCCTTGGTCTGGGCAAAAATGTACTGTCCAATTGTCCAAATATATTTATAATATTTATAGCACCCCTGGGATTGTATGTGTGTGTGATCCAAATGCTGTGTTTGGAGGGTTCTGTTCATTATCCACTACCTTGGATGTTGTTCCTGGAATCTGCTGGAGCTACTTTTCTAGTTTCGGGTTTATAGCTCCCATTGCTCCTATTATCACTGGGACTACTTTGGACTTTACCTTTCAGATCTGCTCCAGTTGTTCCTTCAGCTCCTGATACTTCTCTGTTTTTACATGCTACTTCTTCTTGATCTTGTTGTCTGCCACATCTATCAGAACTTCAGTCTTCTTCTGCTTGTCAGCCACAACTATCACCAGCAGCTGTTGGCCAGCAGCTTGTCTGTCTGGAAGTAGAAGAACCACAGGAATTTACCCCCTTTGTTCTACTCTGACATTGGGACTTGGGGACTTTTAGTCCATATGCAGCACAGATGTTCTTTGTGGTTGTTCCTTGGTTGTTGTTGGATCTTCCAACAAGCTGTTGCCAGCTTGGATCTTACACCCTGTACTATGTGTTTGATAGTCTCCGAGGGCCCTTTGCAAAGTCAGCAACTTGGGTCCTGTGGTAGACTCCTGCTTATATGGATCTAGTGCTTAAGGCCTGCTCTTGTGCTGCCGCTACACAGTACTTTACGCTGTCCTTTTCTATCAACCAGTAGGGTTTCCTGATGTCAGCCAGTTACACATGTGGGGGCTTGGTTGTCTAGGATAATTCCTCTTCCTGTTCCTCATCACCATCCACCTGCCTGAGGCATGCTTAGAGAAGCTCATCTCGGGGGAATATATATATGTATCCCATTTATGTCAAGAAAATGTGAAAACAATGTTTTATATTTTCTTCCCTCAATTTCAGCCGTCTCTCTGTTTGTCTTAGATGCTCCTCGTGTGGAGATCACCCATTCCCTTGAAGTCCCTCAGGAGGGTCAGTACTTGAAGTTGGAGTGTGTCTCCAAAGGAAACCCTTCGTAAGTCTCTAAAAATTTTCATTAATTGATTGACATCATGCTTTCATATAGTGTTTTATAGATTAGACCTAGATGCAGCATGCTTTCTTTCTCTTACATATTCTCTTACCTTTTAGGCCAGATCCTGTGATGTGGACAAAGGATGGAAGTGAACTTCCTGACCTGGACAGGATGATTGTAGAAGGAAGAGAGCTTACCTTTACGTCTCTTAACAAGACAGACAATGGGACCTACCGCTGTGAAGCTAGCAACCACCTAGGGACCAGCAGTGCTCAATATGTACTCTACGTCTATGGTGAGTTCAGGGGAAGCACTGAAATATGGATAATTGCATTTCATGACACAATATAAAAAAGTAAGTCAGTCAGTTACTAATATGACACCACTGGGGGGAAAAAGCTCCAAGAGGAAAACTTGGTTTCCAACAAAGCTATGTAAAAATTGTGAAAAGTATGAACCTCATAGGCATGAGTACAAAACACCATTGAAAAAATACAGGATTATAATACCTCCTGATCTGCATACTGTATCAATGCTAATAGTGATTAGTGGTACCATCCCTCACAGGGAGAATAAGGGCCCCAGGTGACACAAATGCCACCAACGCCTTTCCTTAAATAAACCTGTGTCCCAGATACACACGCACACACACACACAACACACTAGGAGGGAAATGTGTGAGAGAGGCAAAATTTAGTGCTGCGTTGTCAGGAATATCACCAGGAAGGATAAGTAATTCCTAGTAACGCCAGAGGAGGTGGAGGATAAAGGGACTCAGTGTCAGGGAAAACAGATAGTTCTTCCTCTCTTCCGCTTCTTCACTGCCATTTGTCTCTTGGCATTAAGTAATAATGCTTTAAAAAATAGCAAAGCAGTAAAACATCTCTTTTCACTGTGTTATAGAAACAGTGCGTGATCATTAAAAAACAGGTCGTTCTGACGTTAAGAAGAGGAGATGAAGAAAAACATAGCATTAATAATATTACATGAGCTCTTTTATTTAAAAACAGAAAGTAACGAAAAATCTAATTACAAACTTTTGAGTATAAAACCGAGCTACCCGAGTAACACAGGTTACTATGAATAGGTCATAAAGGGCTGTGGAAACCGCAAGAGTGATGAATGACAGAACAAAATGAAATACTCGTTCATGCAATTAGATTTATTTAATGAGAGTGCGATGAACGTATAAGCCATTCAGCCTTTCTCTAAGTAAATGCTGTAAATTTTGAAATATAACGCAAGTCCACGCAAGCAGATGTTCGGGGATGTAAAAGGCAATACAAAATATGCTTATTTTATGCAGAATGCCATGTGACAAAATCAAGGTAAGGATTAGGTATAGAAACCTTACATCTTTCTAATTACTCATATCACTGAAATCTAAACTTAGTACGCACACTCAGTATCTGCTGAGACAAGGTTACTGCAAAGATGCAAATGAGTTTCATTTGCTATATATATTCTGTCTGTCAGATTTTTGCAGATAATTGCTGATGCTTTTAAAATACCGTTGGTGTAGAGTATATCGCTCAGGTATTTAGTTAAAGATCCCTTCTTTGAGTTCAAAGCCACAAAATAGGATGAGTGAAGACTGATTATGTATACCATCAAAAATGTATGATACCTTTCAGCTTCAAATTCAAATCCTGTCCATAGGTTTTATTAAAGGAGGCGATTCTGAAACAGTGCTGTTAGAGACCTTTAGATTTTTTTTAACCTCTTTCATTCCATCAAACATTTTTTTTACTAGTTGATTAATTGTTTGAGCTGTAAAATGATCAGGAAATCCCTTTCACTGTTTGCTAAAAGCACCAGGAGATGTCTTTACATTCTTGTCTTTGTTTAAACCCCAAAAGTGCTGAATTCTTGAAAATTCTATGATTAATTAAGCAATTAGCTGTGGCTCTTATTTAATTAGTGGATTGCTCACACTTGTCATGGCGCACCACCGCACCTAACAATTTCTTCTGAAGCTGCAGCAAGAATAACCAATGCATGTAATGACAGTGATGTTATTAAACTGACAAATTCTCTGCCAGAAAAAAGACAATTGGGTGCGGGAGGGTCAAAAAGTCCTATTCAGATTCATTACTTGTTCTCTTGAAATGGCACCCAGTCTGTTCCTATCCTTCATTAGTGATTATCACACCTTTTAGCCTTTCACAATTGCCTCCATAATTCTTGGAAAATACCTTTTTAATGGTTCTCGAACAAGGGGACATTTTCTCTCTTCCCTCTTTCCCGAAGACATGCAGTTAGCTGCTTAGTGAGTCACGCTAAGGCTGAAATGTCACCAAGACACAGAGGACAGTTGGCCCAGAGAAAGACTACGAGAGCCAATTAAAAGCTTCTGGATCACCATAAAATGCAGAGTGACATAAACATAAAAGCCAAGGTGGTAATGTAACCTCATTAACTTTGTCACCCAATGTTTCGCTCTCACTTTTTTCTGTAGCTTTAACATGTGACAGTGAGAAACGATCAGTTTTACTATTATCCTGTAGCGAGAAGCCAAAATTCAACACGGAAATGAGAGCTTAACCGATTTTTTTTTTTTAATCCATTTATCAGATTACGTTTTCAAATCATCAGCTGTCTTCCCTCTCACATGTTGAAAGGTTGCTAGTGCAGGGTCCATCTCCAGAGACAGTCGCCAGCATTAGCAGATTTAAGGTTAATTCTGCTCTTTTGCTAAACAAATTGCCCTCACAATTCAAAGACAGAATACTTGAAATCAGAGTTGACGGACAAAATGTAGAAGATTGGGACTCTTAACATCGCTGATCATTTCAGAATCAGTGAGAAAGCCTTACTGGCCCACTAAAACAGGAACAGTAATGCACTCAACTCATGTATGTTGTTAAGGGCATCACATTTCCTTATACTGGAAAAGGCATGCTTTCTTGTGCTGTGATCTTATGTTATATGCTTGGAATTGTGTCATAATTTTCCCTTTGTGTTTCCCATCACTGTATATAGTTTTTTTTTCTTTGTGTTCTTTTAACGTATCTAACTTTCCCCATGTGAATTCATTTTGCTGTTGTTGTATTTTGTGTATATGTGTTTATCTGTGCCCTCCACCAGACGCCCCCACCACCCTGCCTCCACCCACCACTCCCCCCCTACATCCCATCACTCCAGATCCTACCGCACTATTAGGCTCCCACGCCTCAGACCCCACAGTCACTGGCAACAGAGGTACAGTACCACCCCACGCATCTCCACAGCATGCTACAGCATAGTCTAACTTCCCCTCTCACTTCCATATCTCCTCTGTTACTTCTTTGCTACTTCTCTACCTCAGTCATTCATATTCTTATTTCTTGTGGACATAAAACATGTGAAGACACTTATAGGTCATCCTACCCAATTATTGCCTTTAATTTTTGCTACTTAAACTATTTTCTCAGCTGAAGGACTGTAAACATTTTCTTTTTTATGAGCAATGATATATTTTTTTACACTGGGACAGACTTTTATGAGTTTCAGAGAAACTCCAGGTGTTCAAATACTCTGTGTGCTGTCCCCTTGGAATTGCAAAGACTCCAGCACTTCTGTGCCCTGAAACCTCAAAGAAGCAAATGTCATGTCCAACTGAAAATGTCTGGCCACTGGAGATATCTCATCATGCCTTCTAATGCTGTGTTAACTCTTAGAGAATCCTAACTTGACATAGTCCCTTTGCCACTAAGGCTGCATATTTGGTGTTTTTAAAGTGGTCCCTGTACAGAACTAAGGCTTTTTTATTGTTCATCTTATGCCCTTAAACATAGATAAGACAGAGCTAATTTCATCATGCTTGTAAGCAGGCCAGCTCCAGTAAGCATATAGCAAGCTTCATTAAACTTTGTGCGTCCAATCATGCATGAACATAGGCGGGCTTAATGCTGCATTTGATAGCAACTGGGAACTAAGAATTTCCTGACTCTATTGAAAACAAACAATACTTTTACACTTAGTAAATCGGATACTGTTTCTGAACACTGACTCTGCATTTTCCACACATAAAATCTTTCTCATATTGCTTTTAATGGAGTAAAACTGTGATTTTTGCTTCTTTTTGGCTTTTGTGTTACTTTAGATGAGTAAACTACACTACATTCATGACCTTTTTTGTTTTCTGTAGAGGAAAAGGAAACAAAGAAAAGGTTGGGGTAGCCATGTTTTGTTTTTGCCAGTTTGTGCACTAACTTGGCAGAGGTTGAAAATGTTTTCATTTTGGCGTCCGAATTCTCACATACGAGGTAGATCAAATGCAGCATAAGGCCATGCTTCCCTTATCCCTGTGTACAACGGGGGACGGCAGCATCCTGTTCCAGCTCTAATGCAGCTGCCAGAGCCGATTGCTCCCACTCAAGACAATGCTTGCGATTCCACCAGACATGCTGCAGCCCGTTTCAGCAGCGTCTCAGAAGCAGATTACAGCTACTGATGACACAAGGCCCTGCAGCAAAGGGCTGGCATAACAATCTCCTCCTGCTAGCTTTTGGCTGAGTTTTCCACAGAAGTTTTCACTTTGCTGTCTGCCTTTCAAAAACAAGGGCAGCAGCAACCAGCCAAGGTTGCAAGCCACATGAATTATAATGCACTGAGTGGTGAGTCCCAGGTTCAATTCCAGCTTGACATTCGCAGCTCGTCGATCTCACGAGTAACATGATGTGATAATTAACAAAGTTAGTTGATTTTGACAGACTTAATTACCACTCGCGGCATCATAGGCTGCTGTTGCCACTCCTCCGTATACGATGCATACTCTCGCTTCAAAAGGAGTCAGTCCCACTTGAGGTCCTCTAGCACGTCCAGCTGAACTTGTTCAAAGAAGCCAGTTGAGTTTTTTTTCTTGTTATTTTTTTTTTTTAGTTCTTTGGTTGTTTTCTGACCAAGAGCCCTACTGTATTTTTTATGTTTTTCCTTTTATTTTAGGAACAAAGTCTATTTGCATTGGCTAATTACACTGTGCTTTTCCTGAGGCCATACAGATCTAAGCAATACAAAAGGAAAGAAAGGCAAGAGAAAAGGAAAGAAAACAGAAAGAAGAGGAAAAAATAAAACCAAGGATCGTTGTGTAGCAACTAATTGTAGTGTATTTTATACGACAGTTCTTCCTCTCTTCCATGAAATCTGATCTAAATTGTTTAATAAACTCTGTCCATACTTTCCAGTAATCATCAAACATGTCCACCCTGAGTCTCAAATGAAATGTCAGTTTTTCCATTACAAAAATATCATGTATCACATTAAATCAGTCTTCTCCGTTGAGGCGCTCAGCCCTATACAACAGGGAGGTGACCCTCAGGCGGACACAGAAAATGCTGAAAGGAATCGCATATCCCACCTGTCTAGGGAAAGCATCAGGATCCTTCAGGAGGACACGGCTATGGAAAAGGATGTTTCGGCACCCCTGCGACACATAACTGGCAGTAAACAGATGCAGTAGATGAAAAGGATATGGCGAGCCTCTGGGCGGGTGTAGTTGCTTTAACCTATTTGCCAGGGCACAGATGCTGACATGGCACCACATCTGCTACAGTAGATTGATATGTCCACGTTTTTGAGTGACATGTCAATTTAAAGCTAATGTGCTGTGATGGCCCGTATGCAGAAGAACTTGCTCACTCATATATCATCTTCATCATGGTTTCCAAAGCTGTTATCAGTGTGTGACATGTTTTCCTGAAGTGATTATGTAAACAATCCATCATAGTGTGATATCGGTAATAGCACATAAAAGAAATTTTGTTAACATATTTATAACGCTGTATATTTTCTCACGAAGCAACATATTTAACACTGTGTATTTTCTCACAAAACGTTGCACAAAATATGAGCTTTCAGTTCAGCAGCAATTAAATATACTTACATGATCTATGCATTCATACATTTTCTGACACTTATCGAGGTCTGAGTCACTGGGGCAGCAGCCTAAGCAGGAGTCTCCCCCTCGCCAGACAACAGCCACTCTTCTGGTGGAAAAGGGAGGCCTTCCGAAGCTAGTCAAGAGATATATTGATTCGAGGGTTACTGGGTCTCCCGCTAGTTGGAAGTATCCAAAACACCTCGCTTAGGAGGTGTCCAGAAGGAATTTGAGTCAGATAATTTAACTACCTTAGCTGGCTCATTATGATGTGGAGGAGTAGCGGCTCTACTCTGAGACCCTTGCTATCTCTAAGACTGAGCCCAGCCAGCCTCTAGAGGAAGCTCATTTCCACCACTTGTATGCCACAGCTCGTAGCCATAGCTGAAGGTGGGAATGTAGGTCGACCAGTAAAGCAGCAGCTTTGCTTTCACACTCAGCTCTCTCTTCACTGTGACAGACTGGAGCATCATCCACATTACTGCAGCTGCTGAACTCACGAACCCCAGAATTCTTGAACTCCTTAATCGGGGAAGCAACTCTGTCCTTACCTTACCCTTTTCCAACTGAGAACCAGTATTTCAGACTTGAAATGTTAAATCTCATCCCATCCGTGTTAGGTGGTTGGGATGAAAGCATCTCATTGGCTGAAATCACCCTAATGACAAGCTGGATGAAGCCAACAGAGCAGCATCATCTGCGTATAACACACAAGGTTCCTAGACCGCCAAACCCTGGACCCTCTGCTCCTTAGGTGTGCAAAAAATTATTGCCCATTACTTCAAATAAACGGTGAAATATAAGAGAAGAGAGTCACTGATCCTTTACATGCAGTTCACCCAAGCAGCTTTATTCATTTCCATTTATGTGTGTATGTTTTTTTTCATCATCATCTAAGCAAGATATCTTCTGTCTTGTCTGTGCTCTTTTGCTCCCTCTCTTCATTCCTCTCAACATCATGGTCTCCATCTCAAAATAATTTCCTCTCATCACTGCTGCTTTCTGTAAATGACCGTCTTTAAAGTCCTTTGGGAGGCTTGACTCCCCTTCTACCTTTCCTCCGCTTTAGTCCCTCTCTAAGCTTTTGTTCAGTTATTCCTCTCCTTTCCGCTTCATCTCTTCTGCCCCCTTACATCTCTCTGAAGGCCCTGTTAGATAACAGTCTTCCACACATTGTTGGATGTTCTTCATCAGTGTGCCTCAGTTCTTCTCTGATGTCTGTTTGTGTAGTTCAGAGACACAAGAGGAGCTGAGCCTCTCAGTATATCTACAGGGAATCTAAATATCAGACTCCTTCACTGCGTTCCTAGTCACAGGATACTACACTATCTGTTTTCATCTGTCTACTTGATTTATTACCAGGTTTTTTATGGCCCTGGATGAAAGCAAACAACTGTGGAGCTTTACCAGCCCCATGACGTTTTGTATTTTTGCATAATGAAGTTGTCTTCCTCCACAGGCATGCTGTAGGTTCAGCACTATAGGCTGTATGCGTTCTCAGGTTTCCCTTTGTCGTTTCGGTGATCTTTCCTTCTGCTCTTTTATCATCGTATGGGGTTTTGGTTTTTTTTTTGAAAGCGCACGGCTATCCCTTTATGCATTTATCTGGATACCAGCATTAGGGTTGTGGTTTCTTTGATTGGCTGTAGATGATTACTCTATGTAAGCCCTCACTTCTGCAAATTGCAGTCAATAAATTGGGTGGACAGTTATGCTGTTGGTACCTTTTGGAGCATTTCCATGGATATGGCTTGCTGTGTGGTACAGCTGTTCAAGACGTTTGTGCTTCAGATTTCACGAGTGAAATATTAATATTTTATCTACCTATTGGTGTGCAACTATACAGTAAAAGGAGTCCGCTTGTCAACTGAGCTTTCTAGTGTTAAGTGAAAAACTGTCTCTCCAATCTCTTATCCAAATGTTGACACTAAAACCAATGGGTGATGTCACAGTGGCTATGTCCATCTTTTGTATACAGTAAATGAAAAATGCTGTCTTAACTCGTGTTGCACAGCAACTTTAAACTGGCTGCAGATATGAATATCTTTCCTTTCAGTTGTTAAAGGATTTCATATACCGTATTCACAAAAATGTGTTCCCATAATGATAAATGTTATTGTCTAGTAGGATTTCACAGTAATGGCTTTTTTATGTGTTACTTTGCTGACACAGTCTCTCCGAGTTTTAGTGGCCAATATAATCATATACCGAGACATTTATTTATCCTTGTACGAATATTAGACAATAAATATTTTATCGTACACTTACCGAAGCTAATAGGAAATTTAGATTTGATAAAACCCATGCCTTTACTTGTCTTGTTGACCTTTAGAGCGCTAGTAGT